AAGGCAGGGCGTGGTGGCGGGTCAGTTCAGAGTTGCAAAAGGCAAGGCTGGTATTTTTCGAAGGAGTCTATGGAATGTTTTAAAGAAAACTAAAAAGATGGGGTAGGGATTCCATGTTCATATAAAGGTATGCAGGCTCACAACAGTGAGAATTTCCAGAAGAATAAACTCTAAGTCCAGAGCTTGATCCCACGAGGCTCTGAGGAACGAGCGCTCCCAGGAAGCGCCGCCTAGGCTGCTGCGGTCACCGTGGTTCCGCTCTTACGGGTGACGCACTGTGATTGGTGGGGGCACAAAGAGCAGCTCTTGTCCTTGAAATGACTGATAGGAAGACGCAGATATTCTTGGACTAAGTGCCAGATGTCTGACAACTCCCACGAGAATGTGGGGAAGGGGAAGAAGTGAGCTCTCAGCCTGGTCAACCCAAAGGGCAGCCCTGCAAGAAGATCAAGTCCAGCCGCGCAGGGAAAGGCCTCGACCAGGAGGAGGCAGGGACGAAGCAGCACGTTTCCGCAGCAAGTTTCCACAGGCAATGCCTGTGCGCCGGTGCTAGGAAATTAAGCTGAAAACCTCATGCTTCCTTTCCCACCCCAAAAAGAACGCACTCTTCTACTTGGGATCGCCTGGCTTCGGCCAGGCTTTCTTCACCAGTTGATAATACAACTTCAAGTAGGTTAAAAAGAAATAACCCCCAACTCAGAAACGGGCATTCAAAATATGTGCTAACTGAAGTTCAGTTGCCTGGCACTTGGGTGGATTTCCCCACGCAGAAAGACCATGTAGACAGAATTTAGCACCCAAAACACCACCACAGGAAAGGAGGCCAAGATAAGCCTAAATTGGGACCACCTCCGACAAACCTGGACATACACCACCCTGTATGTAAGCAGCGTCATAAAATAGTAGGCTCCCAAGCTAACCCCCCAAGCCTGTTAAATCCATAGTTTACCTAAAACACATTTTTAAGGAAAATAGTATAGAATGTTAAGAAGGGATACATTCTATTCTTCTGACAGTCAATAACAAGAGTAAGGAGAGTCGGAGAACGGCAAGGACTTCTAGGATGACGTTCCCAGAATTCTCACAGCTCTAAAAACCCACACATCCCTATGATACAGTGTCAGGCACTAACCAAAAATAATGGAGCATCTGTATTTGTGTAGAGGTCAAGAATATGCAACTATGTAGAGAGAAATTTCATCAATTAATTATGCATCTACTAATGCTAAATATTTGAAGTCCGACCCTCTGGGTTCTTTCCCGTGGATGCTAAATTCACATGCAGTGAACACTATAGCTCAGATTATTTACTGGGTTTTCTCAGGCTAACATGATCAGAAAAAAACTGGTTGCTGGGTTTTCCCTCCTGGCCATGTACTAAGGATCTGTATACCTACATTGGATCAAGTGTAGGAACTCACCGATTCACAACTTCCATGGAATGTAAGGACATATCCATGTTGACCAGGACCGAAAAATACTCAGTGATCTGGCTCGACTGCATTAACTTCAGCAGCATTTCTATGGCGACTAGAGGGTTGTTTTCCACGAGGTCAGGAAGTTTGGCTGGAGTGAGGCCAATATGATAAACAAGTTTGGGGTCTTTTTCCAACTCACCAAGGAGCTAAATACAATCAAATTTTTTAAAAAGAGAAAGAGGTTCTTGAGTCAAAGTAGGCATTCTCTTTCCTGCATATAAAAATATGTATTTTATACAAAAAGCTATAAAATGACCTGCATTAATTTCTTACCTGAAACCCATAATCATGATGACTTGATATTTTTCAATTTACATTTGAAGTATAGAAATATAAACACCTTTATTATTGTCATTATTGTTATTATAATCCTCACCCGAGGATATGTTTTATTGATTTTTAGGGAGAAGGGAGAGAGAGAAACATCTATCAGTTGCCTCCTGTACACGCCCTGACTGGGTTTGAACCAGCAACCTAGGTATGTGCCCTGACTGGGAATTGAACTTGAAACCTTTTTGGTATACAGGATGGTGTGCCAACCAAGTCACCCGGCCAGGGCAATATAATTAAGACAGTTTATAAATATGCCAGTGATTCCTCCTGGGCATTAAACCAGTTGAATAAAATACTGTCTGGATTGTAACAACATCGTCTGTGGATTTCTTTTTCTGTCATCTGTTATAACAAAAAATAGTTGTAATTACCAACCAGTTCTCCCCAAAATCCCAGACCATAGAGAATTCAGGAGCATCCAAAACAACAGTGCAGCCCAGCTCCAGGTAGGAAAAGAAATCTCTGAGAGGGAGCAGGCTGGGAAGAGGGAGATCTGTCCTGCAGCTCCTCCATTTGCAGTGTTCATGGTTCCAACATACTCACACTTTGTAATTCAAATAGGTATCCTCAAAAACAGGTTTTTTCTACCAAATACTACTTTTTCTTTAAAACTTTCTATGTTCTGTCCCCTATCTATTTGTATGTACCACAGTGGTGGTGGTTCAGAACGGCCTAGTAAGGTAAGTGAACTACAGACAGCTGCTTGCTTGACTGTGAAAACAATGATTTTGGTGGTAAACTGCACGAGATGCCAGCATCTCCTGATAAGTTCTAACCTGAAAGTATGCCAGCTCAACCAGCTCCCAACCAGAAACCACACAGGGTGTCCTTGCCTTTCCCCCAAGTGGAATCTTCTGGTTGGGCAGCAGGGCTATTATGACTCGCAAATCTACCACTCACCAGCTGTGTGATGGGGCTAGTTCACCTTACCTGAGCTTTTTCCTCCATAAAAGGTTAATAAACCTGCTTATCCTCAGGAGAACTACTGTCCAGCTTCAACATAACAGTGCATGTCGTGTCTAGCTGGTATGCAGCAGGAGCTAAGTGCCAAAAACGTGAGACCCATCCTGTCCCTCCTCTCCCAGAGTGGAACTGATCCCAAACATGTCCAGGTACAGTTCAGTCGTCAGGCCTCCTGCCCCATCACGGGGAGGGGCAGAACAGCATCGGAGATCCGAAAACTGCTCTGCTGCTGGCTCCTGTTAACAGTATCACTGTCTGGGTCATTTATCCTGTTGCGGAGAAACACACGCTCGCTGGGTTAAAGACAGGGTTACCTGCGTCTGCTGGGGCGAAGACAAGGGGCTTTTGAAGGCCTTCGCCATTATCCGCTTGATCTCCACGCCCGTGCTGTTCTTCACGCACATCGACTTATCCCACTGGACCGCGTGCTCGGGCTCGGTGGGGTTCAGCCACGCCAGCTCGTCCTCACAGATGTGCAGTGGAGGTGGGGGACGAATAAACTCGGGCCGAAAATGGCCTGTAAGCGAGAGCAGGAGCATGACTGCTTCTAGAAGCGCACCAACACCCGCACCGCTGTACGCGCCGCACGTTTCACTTAATGAGTCACTAGCGCCCTTTTAACAAGGACGACAGGATAAAATGGAGGCTTCAAAACCAGAGCAGAGGTGATACAGAAAGTCAGGGTTTTATTCACAATACAGGGAAGAAAATGAGACATCNAGAAGAAAATGAGACATTATTACGCCAGGGACCAAACCTACATGTGTTTGGAGAAGAGGCAAACGCAGTTCCACGACCTGGCGACTCCGTTCAAGCATGATTGCCACTCCATAGCAAAGGGCACAACCTACTCGATTAGTGAGAGTCTCTTGATGAGAAAAATGAAACACTACTTGATCTCACTCATCCTGTTCTGTTACCACTGTTTTACCCAGAGACCACTATGATTAGCACTAGTCCTTCCTCCGAATCTACAACCTTGAATTGGCTAATTACGTGGAGGTGAAATGCCAGGCGGAAAAGAAGGGCTGACTTGACATTTTCAAATGAACCCAAAGACATCCATAAATTCACAAATCCATATTCATTTTAATAGAACAGTAAAAGCACAACGGGCAAAGTGAGAACACAACTATTTCATAAAACAAGGCTGGTCTCCAAAGTTAGCCACCCACTAAAATGATGCTTGCTGGGACTTCTGCCAAACACAGTGCACACCTCTGGTTTCCACTCAGGACTGAGATGGCTTGTTCCTATCATGGATCCCAGCCCCTGCCAAATCTGAGGTTATACTCTAGTTTACTGAAAATGCCTGCTTTCTGGCTGAGAATTAATACCTTATCTTTACACAATCTCTTCCCTTACATCACCAGAACCAGCACCTAAATCTCTCTTCAGACCATTTACAAAAGAACCAAAGCGTTTAACACTTCATGAGAAGCACAACACTCAATCGAGTTCCCATGAGGCAGGGATGCTTCGTGCTTCCTAACTGAATGTCTGGCAGACCTGCCTTCACATACCTTTCTGTGCCTGAGCGAGTATTACATGAAACCAGTATGTGCATGACCTTCTGGCACACTTGTGACCAGCTGAGACTTCAATATTAGGCCCATTTATGCCAAAGATTTACTGTAAATAGCACAGAGTCAGTGTGAGTTTTAAACTCAAGGGGACTATGACCTGGAGACCACAGTCTTACCCCAAGCAGAAAGCAGGCCCATCATTAAAGCCATATAGAACCTGATAAAACCAAAAGGTGCAGTTATAATACTTTAAGTTCAATAGGTGTTTTGTTTGACTTAAGTAAATTAAGAGCTATAAGATCAGTAAAACTTTACAATGGAGAAAGTAATGATAGTGATAAGATTAATAAAGAGACATAAAACATAAAAAGCTACAAAAATAGACTCATTTCAGTAAAATCAGAGAATTTACATCTTCAGATATGCTGGTGACAGATTATGTAATAAAAATTTTGGTGTGTAATTTTATTAAAGGAGGTAACTTTTACCAAGCATCTCCATGAAGTTCTAGACACTATACGAATAAGTTTTTAATTAAATTCTAGTTTAAGTGGCAACGAAAATAATGTTCCAGAAACCATCTCAGAATGCTGATAAAGTAAAACTAAGACCATAAAATATATACCTACTTTCAATAGGTGGCTTTGGTCCACTGACTAAAGCTTCTGTGATCTGAGAGGCAACTGAGCTGTCAAATCCAGAATTGGAAGAATCTGGGTCCGGGTCACTGAGGATACTCGGGAAGCTAGCCTTACTTTGGGTTGGCAATTCAGACTGGCGTTCTGAAAAGGGTAAAATAGGAGACATTTAAAAGTGTGGGCACCACACGGGAGTGAAAGACAAGCTAGTAACTGGGAAAAGCTACCTGCAACACATAAGCAAAGGGCCAGATTCAGAGTATGTGTGTATTTTTTTCAAAAGTCCTACAAATCAATTTTTAAAAATAGGGGGGGAAATGGGCTAATGACTTCAACAAGCACTTTATTCTTAAAACACAAAAGGCTTGGCTCTGGCCAGTGTTGGAGCATGGTCCGGTATACCAAAAGATCACGGGCACAATTCCCAGTCAGGACACATACCTAGGTTGCAGGTTCAAACCCTGGTTGGGGAGCATTCGGGAGGCAACCAATTAATGTTTCTCTCTCTCCCCTTGTCACTTCCTCTCTCTCTCTCAAATCAATAAAAACATATCCTCAGATGAAGATTAGAAATAATTAAAAAAGCCCGGCCGGGCGTGGCACAGCGGCTGAGCGTCGACCTAGGATCCAGGCCATCGGGGTTCGATTCCCGGTCAGGGCACATGCCCAGGTTGCGGGCTTGGTCAATGACTCTCTCATCATTGATGTTTCTATCTCTCTCTCTTTCTCTCCCTCTCCTTTCCTCTCTCTGAAATCAATAAAGATATATTAAAAAAAAAAAAAGTTAAAAAAAAAAAGAAAAATAATAAAAAACAAAAATCATAAAGCCTGAATGGCCAAAAACATCTTAAAAAAATGTTCAATCCCATTAGGAACCAGGAAGAAATCAGTCAATACACAAGGTATAATTATTCATCCGCCAGACTGGCAAAAATTAACAAACCTGACACGATCAAATGCAGAGGCAGCTGTCAGGTGACTCGCACACTAATAGGGTTGAAAAACGGCACGGCAACTGGAAAACAATCTGCCATCACTTGATAAAGTTTCACATGTGCTTATCTTTCCCTTTAGAAGACACTTTTTCACATGTACACCAGAATATATAAAAATGTTCATAGCAACACTATGTCCATCAACACCAGAGCAGATAAAGAACTTGGTATTCCACTATATGGAATATATACTTATAACTCAGTATCAAAAACCAATCCAATTAAAAAATGGGTGCCCTGGCCTGCGTGGCTCAGTGGTAAGAGCGTCGGCCTGGGCGCCAAAGGGTTCGGGTTTGATTCCCAGTCAAGGACACATACCTCGGTTGTAGGTTCAATCCCCGTGGGAGAAGCAACCAATTGATGTGTCTTTCTCACATCAATGTTTCTCTTTTTTTGTTTCTTCCTCTCTTGCTCTTTCTCCCCACCCCACCTCCTTCCTCTCCACTCTCTAAAAATCAATGGAAAAAATACCCTCCAGTGAGGATTAACAGAAAAAAAAAATGGGCAAAAGGTCTGAATATACATTTTTCCAAAGAAGGCATACAGACGGCCATGTAAAGATGCTCAACATCATTACTCATCAGGGAAATACAAATCAAAACCACAATGAGATATCCCCTCACACCTGTCAGAATGGCTATTATCAAAAGGACAAAGCCTGGTCAGGTAGCTCGGTTAGAGCGTCGTCCCAATACACCAAAGTTGCAGGTTCGCTCCCCTGTTAGGGCACATACAGAAAGCAACCAATGATGTATACATAAGTGAAACAACCAACCAATGTTTCTCTCTCTCTCTCTCAAAAAAAATAATAGTTTTTAAAAAAAAGACAAGATGATAAATGCTGGCAAGGAACCTTTGTGCACTGTTAGTGGGAATGTAAACTGGTGCAGCTACTGTAGAAAATAGTATAGAGCTTCCTCAAAAAATTAAAAATATAACTACCATATAACCCAGCAATTCCATTTCTGGGTCTTTATCCAAAAACCAAAACACTGATTCAAAAAGATATATGCACCCCTGTGGTACTTACAATAGCCAAGATATGGAAGCAGCCTAAGTGTCCATCAATGGATGAATGGGTTAAGAAAAGGTGATACACACACACATACACACCACCTTTGGTCCATGGGTCCCATTGTGAGATCTGAATTTCAGGCCTCTGTGAAGATGATCTGTGTAGCTAATTCCAGATAAGATAGGTGGCCTTGCTTTTTTTTTTTCTGCACTTGTAACATGAATGGCTTATGACATCTTCAATTTGGGTAGGGGTCAGTGAGCAGCAATCTTCATCATTCTGCCAAGCTTCTCAGTCCTAACTCTAGTCATATATTCCTTTCTGAGCTTGACATACTTTAAAACTTTATCACAGGCTGACTCAAGTCACCACAAGTTTATAGGTCAGATTTGATTCTCATGTGACTGAATGCAAAGCTAGAATCCTCAAGATACATATCGCTTCTCAAAGTAAGGTGACTGAAATTGTCTATCATCTCTGTATGATGAAAATAATAATTTTATTTCTGCTAATAGAGTGTATCTGGCACTAGTGGCTAATAAGTACTTCTGTGTTCCTTCAATCTTAAAAGTCTTAAAAAGATTTCTTGGGGTTTCAGAAAATAACCATTGTTATATTGTTAATACCCAGTAGTTAAAAAGTGAAGTTCAGGGCAACCCTTTTCGGGACCCCTCTCACACGCCGAGAGCTTTGCTTTCTTTCTTTCCACAATAAACCCTGGTACTAAAAAAAAAGAAAGTGAGGTTCAGATGCTGCAAGGAAAAAGTAGTTTACCGAAAGATGTCACCTTATATAAGCAGCCAAATGCCACAGGTGCCTTTAGTCTCAGAATGGGCACTGTCAAAATTAATACTGTGGCTTATTCAATGACAAAGTCAAGGGTTCATAAATCTGGCTACATATTAGAATTTCCCTAATGAACCACTCTCAAGCATTAAGATCCAAGCCATCTGTATTTTTGCTTAGAGCGGAAAAGCAAAAGGTGCCTCTTCTCTTTCACCCCTCAGAGAGACTCTCTCTGACTATCCAGTTCAAGAAGGTCCCCCTATTTTCTATTACAACACACTTCTGTTTCAAGAGCACTCATGCATTTGCTTATGTGTGTAACACACAAGGTGCCAAACACTTTTGAAACAGAAGAACCAAGTGGAGGGCTCACACTTCCTAGTCTCAAAACTGATTACAAAGCATCCATAAGCAAAAGGGTGGCACTGGAATAAAGACAGACATATGAACCTGATGCAGAACAAAGGTGCCAGAAATAAACCCTCCACAAATGGTCGAAGGATCTTCAGCAACGGTGCCCAGAGAACACTGTTCTGGCCATTCAGCATCCCGAGATGCCATCTGCATTTTATGACGGGTTTTCTATTTCTGCAAAACATACCTTTGGAATTTTTATAGGAATTGCATTGAATATGAGATCTCACTTTGAGCAGGACTGACACGAGGAATATTTTTTTAACAGACTAAATTTTATCCAGTGTTCTCCTTAAACTGGAAAAGCAATCCAATCAAGTGAAGACTCAAAATGAACATACATGCCACACTAGCAAGGATCTTATACTGAAGCTATGCTCTTAGAAAATACTAACCTTTTAGCACAGCTACAGAACTGCATCTTAAGTGCAGTACCTTAAGAAAAAGGCCTAACACTACCTACCACACAAGAATGCCCAAACCACCAATCCCCTCCTTACCAGCCAAGGCTAGTTGAAGCCCACTAATGTCCACAGACTGGCCCATGTTTCCAACGTCCATCAGTGCAATCTGTCGAGGTGTCTTTTTGAAGAGTTCCCTTGGAGGTGCCAGCATTAGCTGGGAAAGAAAAAACTTTTCCGGTGGAGTTATAGGAGGTAAAAATCCTGTAAACAAAGATGTATAACAATTTCTCCAGTGGTTATTTTAAAAAATTAACACAAATCTGGTAAAATTAGCATTTGCTACTTGCCAACTCAACTTACATATTTTTAAAGACAAAATTTTAAGTTTCAGTTACCCAAATACATACATTTATGAAAATGTAATTAAATGTCATTTGAAATTCTATGAGTTGTAGCAATATCAATGAAACTTAAGATTTTTGTAATTATTTAGAATTTTTTTTTTAACATGCCTCAATTCCTGCAAAGGCTAAAGCCTACTTATGTGAGTAAAAACAAATTAAAAGCTACAGCATTCAGAAATGCTCTTCTTCTCTGCTGTTACCAGCAACTGTGTAGAGGTTAGAGAGACAAGGAAGCAGTCCCTAGCAATGCAAATACACTCCACCTACCTGCTTCACAATACACAGTGCAGCTAAAACTCCCGTGCTGAACGTTGCTTCCCTGTTGTCCCATGTTCAACTGCACACCAAGCCGCATCCATCCTACCAGAGCAATGCTGCCAGACTCCATGCCCACACCACCAACCCTTCCTCCTGCCTGAACCACACACAGCACAGCCTTCCTGGTTTCCCAAGCTCCCAGTGTTGACTCCTGCTACATCCACCACCCACAGTCCACACTCCCACTTACCATTTAGTTACATTCCTAGGAACAAACTTGCTTACGTTACTTAACCTGTTTACACAGAATTAAACCCAAACTTCAGCACCATTATAAAACCCTCCACAATCTGCTCCTACCCACTTTCCTAATCTCATCTCTTGAATCCCCCTTCAATCCACATACACTCCAGCTGGACAAAAATCTCTCAGCTTCTCTGGCTCCAGACTTCAAAACATCCAATGCACCAAGTTCTTAAGACCTGGCAGGGCCACACCTTTTCCTCCCCACCACCATCTCTAATCAATACCCAGCAAAGACAGCAGTCTGAGAATCTCACTCCACACAGGTAGCTGCTGCTCTGTGCCACCGAGCATTCTGTACATACCATCTAGTACAGCCCTTACCACACTGTTTACATTTTCCCAACCAGACTACTCCTTTCTTGAGTGAAGGGAAGCCTTCTATATTTACTTCCAGGTACATTCTCAACCCTGACTCTGCATCACAATCATCTGAAAAACTTGAAAACATATACCTATTAGGTGCTCACCTAGGTGTACAATAGCGTATGCCTTGGCACTGATATTCCCTGTTGTGCATTTAAGCACCATCCTTACCTAATCTAAAAAAATACTGATAATGGGTAATGCTTATCAAAGATACTTTTATTCCTCATAATAACTCTACCAGCTGGGAATTATCTGCATTTTTACAAGTGAAAAAACAGGCACAGAGAGAAAAACTAACCAATGCAAGGATTCCTTCCCTGGCAAATCTGTGTTTACAATGAAATGTACAGTGTAGATTTGACTTGAGACTCGTGGAATTCGATGACAGCATATAAATCATGGTTCCTGTCTCAACTGTCTGAAGCGCCTTGCGACACCACCCCACCCTGCCCCATCCTCTAAGGGCGCCCTGGGGTGGGGGTCTGCGCTGCACCCGCTCGGGCATTCTCAAACTTGCTGGAAGCCAGCCAGCGCCATGCCCAGGGGCTCGGCCCCACAATGGCCTCCTACAGGAGGGCAGCGCGAAGAGGCCGGCGCCCAGGGGAGCCCCCCAGCTGTGCCAAGTCTCCCCGGGGTTACCTCAACCCTCGGCCTGGACCCCGGCAGGAGCGGCCCGCTG